CTTTTATTGTTTCTATTCACAAATGCGGTAGCATGGATCCATGAGCAGGATGATAAAGAATACTGAAGAACAGAAATATTGTAGTAATTCAGGTTATTGCATTGTGTGTTATTTAACATCACACATCTAATTAATTATCTTAGAACTTAGTTTGCATTATTTCTTTGCACCAGACCAATGCAAGTGACATATGGAATGGAAAATACAACACTGCCTTAATGTCTGCTTTCAGCCTGGTAGTTTGATCAGAAGTCTAGAAACAGTAAAATTCAACAATAAAGTACATATACTCTTGTTCCAGGGTTATAAAGAAGTCACCTCAGGATCAAACGAGCCCTTAACAACTCAGGTTCTGACATGCAGTTAAGTAATTTTTTGAAACTACAGATTTATGTTGGTGAAAACACGAAATTTTGTGTAGAATATTTCAGTCTTTTTTTTTTTTTTTTCTTTTTCTTTTTTCATGACACAACACACACGCTCTTGGCATCCATAGAAAGCACAGTGGTAAAATGTAGCAGAAATGGCTAACCAAAAGGACCAAGGTTAGGGAAACAGCATGCTCTGAGCAGTCTTCTGATCTGTATAAATTCTACAGCCAAAACCTGAATGAATATTCAGTTAACCACAGACCTGAAGTTTTCATAAGTTTTCATTACTACCTCTCAATCAAAAGTTGTATAATGGTGAGAGATAATATCATAAGTTAGAAATATTATAAATTAGTAGTTTTGATTATTTATATTTTTTTAAAAGAATTAATGCATATCTGTTTTCCAGTTAACTCCAACTATTTTAGCATTTATCTTTAATATTCAGGATTTCAATGTGCATTGCATTTACTTGGCAGGGGTTTGGAAGCAGGGAGCTGCAGGGGTGGCCTCTGTGAGCAGAGCCCAGCAGCTGCCCTATGTTGGATCAGAACCAGCTCCAGGCAGCTCCAAAAGGACCCACTGCTGGCCAGAGCCGAGCCAGTGACTGATGCTGGTTGGGCCTCCAGAAGAGCAAATTTCAGAAAGGGAAAAAAAAAAAAAAAAAAAAAGAAAAAAAGCTGCACAACAGCAGCTGGAAGACAGGAGTAAGAACCAGCCCTGCAGACCCCGAGGTGGAGCAGAGGCAGAGTGATTGTGAAGGAGCAGCGGCGATGAAATGTCAGGGACTGACCGCAGCCCCCATTCCCCTATGCCACTTGCGAGGAAGAGGTAGAAGAAGGCATATGGGGAAATATGTTTTAATTTGCTTTTAGTTTCTCAGCATTCTAGTCTGCTAGTGAGAAGCAGTAAATTGTATTATTCTCCCTATTCTGAGTCTGTTTTGCCCATGATGATAACAGTTGAGTGATCTCCCTGTACATATCTCAACCCTTGAGACCTTTTCATCATATTTTCTCCCCCTTTCTTTCCCTTTTAGGAGTGGGAGTGAGAAACTGGTTGTGGTGGAGTTCCACTGCCAGGGTTAAACCAGAACACAATGAAAAATTCACAAGACAAAAGGCGATTCTTCAACCTACATACAAAGTTCAATACAGCTCTTTTGTTAAATAGGACTTTCAGGTTTGCATTCAACCTTGCATAAACAATCCTATTTCAGGATCCAGGCATACCGCAGACAAAAGCACTCATTTCAACCTGTGTAGGCACACGTGAGCTTTACGGTATTATACCTAGCCACTCTTAATATTGAAACTGTGGCAACAAAGAGCTCAGTTCAGTCTAGCTACCCAACAGACTGCTCCAGGTCTCTTATCAGAAGTAGTTCACTATCAGAATCAGAAGTGAACCCTGTGCTATCAGTAAACATGTTTTATCAGCTCCAAATATAGCTACCTAAATTTTATCAGCTCCCATATAAGCACAAAAACTCCGCTCATACCTCTTAGTCACAACATAGTGCATCTTCTGCTGCATCCTGCTGATAACATCACCGGTCTTCCCACCTAGCTCTGCGTTGTACCGTGTGGTGGGAAAGTGGTAAAGCCCTGACCTGCAGGGCTGACAGCCCTACACAAACCTCCCGGGAGGGGCTCATTCAACAAACCATGCAGAGGAAATACACCTGTTCCACAAAAACCTTACTAAACACACTACAGCTTGTTTCAGGATTTAATTGAGTGATGTCACTTCATTGTCTCCATTCTTTTAAAGGGGAATAAGTAAATTTACTTAAAGAGCAAATTCTCCTTTCAGAAAATAAATAAAATATGCATGTAAAAGACAGCAAACATAGAGTTTTAAATGTGTTTTGGATTGCATGGTACATTTTAATTCCTGTATGCATCAAACTTCAATCATAAGTACTTCTATGGAAAGAGGGGGAAGAGAGGAAGCACTCCCCACCCTCATTATCACACCTAAAAGCAAGTACTAACAGCTGGTGTGCTCTTCAGAGCCCACTGTCTGTATTGACCAGGTCTCTACTGACTATAATGAGAGCACAGAAATGTGGCTCACATTTAGATTTCTACAGCACCAAGTTCAATTCTGTAAGTGACAAAAGAGCTAATGTCACATGCAGATGCCATATACCTGGGGACACTCCATGCAGAGTTGCTGCAAACCCCTGCCTTAAAGCTTAACAGAGCTCCAGGGTTGTTTTCATCACTCCCTCATGCCATTCACATTAACATATACCACAAGCTAAACCTTAGCACAATAATTACTGAACAAGCTCACAAAGGGCTGGTATGTGCATCTGTTTGATGAGTGCCGCGAGATGAGAACTAAGTCCACATACATACAACCCTTTTAGCTAGATAATGAGTGCTTTAATGGTGCTAGATAGGTATCAGTAGATCTGCAAAACCAATAATGTTTTAGGTAAAATATTTTGTCTAGCTAATGATCTAATCTGTTGGTTTGAGGGCACTTAAAATCTGTTTTCATGAGCCTCACAGGACTAAAGTGACCTTGTGTTAGGCTACTGTTACACTTTGGGTTCTGCTCCTTGATAGTACTTAAATTTGCATGCATTTTTTCTTAGATTTTTTTTTTTTTTGGAGTTCTGAGTGAAGTTGGGACCCTACTTGAATCTGTGTGAAACAGAAATTTTCACCTTTATTTCTTAAGAAACAATGTTCTACAATATGAAGCCTTGTTCAAGCAAACATCCCAAATCATAACTCTCACGTACTGGACATGGAACATTAATAGACACCGTCCACTTGTAGAAAGGAGCTAGGAAAAAAGCCCAAACCATGAATAATGTTCTGCAATCTCTAGGAAAAAGGTATGGTTCCTTGAAGAGTGCAGGTACAGGTTATACGGCCTGGGAATTTTACAAAGATTTCACAAAGTCTATAGATTGGAATATTTGTACTAAACAAGCTCATGCTTTAGGCCTTCTTTTAAAAGGATTTGTTGTACTCAGTATGAAGGTCTAACAGCAACCTTAAAGTATTTTATCTATTTAGAAATAGATAAAACACAAAATATTCTAGTTGATTTAATCAATTCTTTAGCTTCAAAGCTATAAAGGAAATATTAGAAGTTTATAGAAATTACTTTAGACGTACTAGTGCCTTTTCATGGCAAAGTGGTCTAGGAAAAAATAATAAAGCTAAAGTTCCCCGTTGTAGATGCCTTTCCTTTTTCAGAAGGCATAATCTGGTCTTATTGATTGACTTGACAGAAGTGATTGCTACTTAAAAAGTCATTTATGCACTTATGCATTGACTGTTTTGTTAGTTGTTGGGTTTTGGTAATAGTAGATGTGTTTTTGCAGCATTCTAGTCAATATCAAAGGTATGGTATTTGCATTTATTTAAAAATAAATGTATTATTGACTTTTTTTTTTTATATATAGATTTACCTTAGCTAGTAATGCATATTTTTAGCTACTACTGTAAAATAAACATTATACACAAGATTTTCTATCAAATTGGATGTATGGTGAGTTGAAAAGTCAAAGAATGTATGTTGAAGAAGTGATCAAAATTCAACACCATTGGGGAATACATTGTTAATTAAATATTAAAGATTTTTTCATTATCTAGAACAATATTGCTGCTCTGTTAAATATTGAAAGGTAGTAGTTTTACAGGAAAAAAAAAAAAGGACCAAGAGACTTGTCATTCATCTCACACATCTATTAACATAAGAATGAACTAATTAAGAGAGATGGGAAACTGTCATGATCTCATTTATGAACGTACTTGAGACATTTCTTATACACACAGAAGATAGATATCAATAGATTCTAAAGGAAGAATTTTCCATAAAGGCACTTAAGGTAAATATGTTTTCATTCTTGTCAACTTTTGCTCTATGCATCTTAAAGTTCTTTGCACCTGGTTGACTGAAAACCATTGTAACATTCCTCTCTGATCATAGATTAATATTTGTATGGTAAAAAGAAGAGATTTTGATTATTTCAAAACTACTTTTATTGCTTGGAGATATTATATATACAGCACAAATGAGTCCAAACTACTCAGTCAAAATGAACTACACTGAATTTCTGAATGCATATTTTGATTCTCTTTTTTCCTCTGTAATACCCTGGTGCTAACTGATATAACAATTGCATTTAAACAGTATTAAAAATGGTTTGCTTTGAAAAATGATATGATAGAGATGTTATACAGCTTAACAAGATTGCTTGTACTTAATTAGAGAGGGAGGGAAAATCACCCTAGCTAATCCTTCATTTTTTCATTATATTTTGCGCAAACAAGCAATCTTGTATTTCTCGACTTCACATCAGATGAGGAGGCAAATGTTCCATTCACAATGCCAGTGGTCATTTAATATATAACATATACAGGCTTTAAGTCTCATTTCTTAAGGATAAGGCATTTCCTTTTATTCAGACAGGCAAGGTTTCAGGGGAAAAAAATGGTTTTGACATGAAGGAAGTTTTCACTGTTAAGGTATTCTCAAAGCAGACATCTACTGATCACTAATTTAGGAGGTGTAAGAATGAAACTTTGTTGTTTGCGGCTGAAGAGACTCATTTATATTAGTTATAAATTAAGGGGAGAAAAAAGAAAAACAAACACCTACCTTTCGGGAATTGATTTCTTTCACGTATAGTGGAAGTAGAAATTCAGATATTCCTTCAAGTCGTATTCCTTTTTTAGTGACTCTCAAATTTCCCATTCCATCCTACAATCAATAATATATATACATTTCACTTTATGAAATAACCTTATCCAGAACAAGGTAAAAGGAATACAGTATCTGGCCTACTATAAAGTAATGAGTGCTCGAATAGAAATGGTGAAGTGAAAGGGAACTCCCACAAAATACAGAATAGTAAACGTGTACAGCCATATGATAACAGGAAGGACTGCCAGATTTACAAAAATGGAAAAAACAATAATAATAGGTCTAAGTTTTATTTTATCATCAACCAATGACCCAAAAGCACATTTTTCATGAAAATGAATTCTTTTTCATGGTTAGTAGCCAAAGCATAGCAAGGCTTGTGATGCTGGCAAACTGAAGTATGACTGAAGACACCTAGAGAGTCCAGACAACCAGTTTTGAGTAAAATGGAGACAGATACAATAATACACAAAAGTCTAGTCCAATATAAGGTTACCCTGTTATTATTATGTTTTTGAACCTCTGAAGATTTGCCGTACAAAAATACTCTGAACTCTCTCTCTATGATGTATTTCTTTTGCTTTTCTGAAACACTACCATCCTGTGTCTAAGAACGGAATTTCAATGGGCCTATGAAAAAGTTCACATGAAGTCAGTTTCTGCTAAAGTTTTCACTGAACCCAGCCCTCCTGTTCATTTTGACAGGAGCAAGAGAAAGTACAGACAAAACTTCTCCAAGAACTGTGGTATTTAACTGTGCACCCTAGTGGTGAACTGCACACATTATTCCTTGGATGGACCTTCTGCAAGGGTACAAAAGTGATTTTTATTGTGGAGGTGAAGCTAGATTTTGAATTACATCTTCTAAGCCAAGCGACTGATTATTTTAAAGACTGAATGTAATATTTTCTAAAGCAATTGATTATGTGTAGTGTAATATTAGAAAAACATGATGTTGTTGCTATATTTGAAAAAACATACAGAGGAAAATATCCTGTAGGAAGAAAAAAAAAGGTTTCCTTTTATTAGTAGCTGCTCATGTTTACTATAAGTGCATTGGTGGTGAAAAGAACTTCAAAATGCTGTTTGTTTTGATCTAGATGGAAATTTTAAAAGGGCCACTGCAAAAGGCTGGATGAAACAAGGCAAATAAATGATCCAATGCTTACTAAGATATATACATATAAGAACAGCATATTCTTACTGGACAAACAATGAAACTTGCTTGATACTTAGGGACAGGATCACTTTACACACTGAGAGATTAAAAACTTATTATCCCTAGAGGTCTATTACTATATTCCTGACAGAAGATGTGCAGCCAGTGGAATTCAACTTGATCTACTTAAGTGCAAAATTAGCAAAAGTAACCTAGTTGCTGATTAAATGCTTAGAAGCAATTACTAGCTCTATTGCAGCAGAACAGTGAGAACTTGCATTTCTCACTGCTGGCTGAATTGCGAAACTAGTAACCTCCACCTGCTGGGCAGTCCTGCGCAGACGGATGGCAGTGTCACCAGCTGCTATAGCTGAAGCTGGAAGAGGGCACTGAATTAAACACATTTATACTTTTCAAAGATACTGTAGCCACTGTAGCTATTCTCTGTCTAAAGCAAATAATGATGCCAACATGGCTGGTATTTGATTGATACCACAGTATCTGAAGTAGAACTCTGATAATATTAGTACTTTAAGAGAAGAAATAATTTGTATTTTACACAATGCAATTTAGTAGATATAATTTCCCAAACACAATGAAGACAGTGTGAGACTGCTTTGCAAGCTATGACAGATCTGTAAAGAACATACTTTCGGAAATCATGCATTCACATGTCAGTTATGAAAGCATGAGCCTAGCTATCTGACTACACAGCCAGAAACTACCAGAGTAAAAAAAAAAAATAAATACATGCATAAAAATATAAATAATAACTATAAATAATATAAAAATAATATAAAAATAATATAAGAATAAATAAAAAATAAACACAACTTTCCAAAGTAAACAAAATATGGAATAACAAAAGCTACTGCTAAGGCTACAGAATGTACTTGTTAAACTGTTGTGGCACCAAGAGAAATTTAGCAGACGTTTAGCAGAAAAATTTAAATTTAGCAGAAATTTAGCTCCAAGAGTCCAAATAATCTTTAGCAAAGCTTATAATTGATTATATTAAGCCAAGAACTGCTTTACTTTTATTGGCAAAAATGCTATTTGCATCAAGCTGACAACTGAATTATCAATTAATACTCTTTAAAGAAGTGATAGTTTAAAAAAAAAGATGCTTTTTTGACTTAAAAAAATAAAATAAAAGATCTCTATAAAAATGGTTTTATATAGAAAGCTTACAAATACCTGAGTTTTTTATAACAGAGTGGGATATGAAACAGTGGTGGCTATTTTTGAGAAGAAAGTAAGGTAAAGATATCATACATTGCTTTTCCATGCACAATCTGCACTAATGCCCATTAATTCTAAATTTCAACAATCCCAGGTTTTTTTAATATGTGCTATAGGAATAGCATACAAAATAGTAATAGGATAAAGTAACCTGAGAAAAGACAACAATCATGTTGCATATTTGGCAGAGAATATATATTTAAAATGAAATAGATACCGATTTATTGATGCAGATATAAACACATTTTATAACTGAAAAGGCAAATCCAATATGTTGCTACATCTGGTTATGCAGAATGTCTGTAACTGCCAGGCACAAAATGCTACTACTAAAGATCAGAGAATTCAATATTACTGGCCTGGAGAGAACAAGAAGGAGAGTGTGATACTGCAGTTCAGGAATTAAAACTCTCATTGAGTCAAGAACAGAGTTCTGATAGACTCTCCAGTAATTTATCATGCATCTCAAATGAAACAGATAGTCAGTAGGCACCAAAGGACTCTTATAACATAGAGATCTTTTAAATCCAGATTCTGTCTCCAAAAGCTCACAGTCTGAAGAGGGAAGCACTGCACAAAACATGCAGTAAGGGTAAAACAACATTTAAACAAAGTAAAAGTATTTAAACAAAGTACTTAAACTCAAAGTCCTAACAAATTAATACACGTTCAATGATTGCAGGCATTTTAGCAGAGGCTAAACTTGAGAAGGAATCTGGATGTTATGGTTGCAGTGCTATGAAATAGCACGGATGAAACATTAAGTGTATTAATGTGCTATGCAAATGGGGGAAGAAAAAAAAAAGATGGTGAGAGATTATAAGAAAGGTGGCTGAAACAATGAAACCAGTGAGATATTGAAACAGGGAAAAAGAAAACTAGATTTGCTGTGATGGTGCAAAAAGCAGATAATGTGGAGGGGCAGACAGCATGATGGGGATAACTGGGAAGATAAAGACACTAGCAGACACTTTGTGGATAAAATGGAAGAGATACATGAAAGGTTAGGAGGAAGATAACAAAATTATTGGTATTGTGTTCACACACACAAAAGGCTGTATTCCATAAACAGAGCTGGAGCACAATTCCAGCTGGAGGAAAATGGTGTTTGGGCATGGATGTATAAAGAAAAAAATGTAGTCAGCTACGTTCCTGTAAAAAAACAAACAAACAGAAAAAGAGTAGAGGCATCAGCAGTGAAAACAGAGGGGGGTTTTCCTGGTTTGCAAGGAAAGGTAACTGTGAATGTCAGTAACTGTAAACTGATAGCGAGATATCCAGGAAAAAGCACTGGAATGGCAAAAATCTGGATTGATGGAAATATCTGCCTTCATCCATCTGCTGAAAATAATAACCAAGACTGTATAAAAGACAGCCAGCAGTAGATATCATCAGGGAAGAGTTGAGGAAGAAATTACTATAGTACAGTGCAACAATGTTTGAGGGATACATGTTGACCGAGGAAAAAAACCTATACAATCTGTGGGAAGGCAGTACTGACAATGAGATTTTAACTGGAAAAGCTGTTAAAAAGGAATAAAAGTCAGACTACTATGCAACCTAAGTGGAAATAGAATATTCTGAATAGATGGTGCCCTTATGATTTTAAAACATGTAAAGTACAGCCTGGATTCTTCAGTTATGAAAGTAAACTTGAAATGAAAATAAAAGTCTATGCATGCTTATATGAACAGAAAACATACCTCTCTAGGTCAGCTAATAGGATCAAACACATCTCACTTGCTCAAAAGTTGATTTTGTTTTCTGGCCTGGATAGCTATGTCACTTTTCTTTTGTACATTGATGTGTCCTTCAATATCATATGAAAAAGACAGAATTTCACATGGTCTGTCCTCACATCATATTTCAGATTAAGGTACAATCTTTTTTTTTTTTTTTTTAACAATACATTATGAACTGTTTGTTCTTAAACAATACAGAGAAATATAGGATCTAACAATGCCATTTTTCTCTCCCCCCATGCATCCAACATTTCAACTATTTAAGATTTTCAGCCCTGTTGAAAATCAAGTAGAATTTAATAGTTTTGATAGAAACTATGTGGTGAGAAGGATGTGAAGTTTAGACCAATCAGTATAAAAGACAAACAAACAAAAAGCAAAGCAGAAAGCCAACATCACTAAAGCTTTTGGACATGAAACTTTCTTTTCTTTACTTGGAAGCATACTCTGTTTTATTATTTTCTTTAATGTTTTGTTACGTCAATGTGCCAGAATGAGTCTACCAAGATTTTTATGCCATCTAAACTATTTTCCAAAATAAGTAAAGCATTAAAAAGCCACCAATCACCCAAAATCTTTTAATCATCTAAGGGTGACATGGAACATCATCTCATTTTGCAGCCCTTTCGGCTTTGAAACTCCTAACCCTTTTATCTTCACTTGCAGCTGAAGTGAAGTAATACAGCTGAAGTGAAAAGTAACACGAAAGGTCTGCTGTTTTGTTCTGTTCCCACACACTGCTGCAAACCCATGAAGACAGCAGTGAAATGGAACAATTTTCTCAATGACTCTGGTAGCCAGCACAGCTCCGTCACTAAAATGAAAATTCTATGATTGAGTTAATCTGTAGTCAGACTAACATAAAGCCATTTCCATCCCAATTCAAACTCATAGCATCAATCTTTAACAAGTCA